GTCAATCAAAGTTAGGTAATAAACGGATTCAATTGAAAAAAGGTCCATGAAAACTTCTTGGAAGGGGGCGTTTTGGGTTTGAGTTAATTGAAGTAATGGTTTAATGGGTTTTCTTTCATATTTCATTTTTCTACAGGCATCACAAACATTAAGTACTGCAGCAATCGTCTCTTGCATGTTCTGCCAATAATAATTTCTTTTAATTCTACTCATTGTTTCCTTTATTCCTCTGTGACACGTCTTTCCCTCATGATGTTGCAGTATGATTTCTTTTTGTTTTTTCTCGTCTTCTACATATATAACACGCTCTGTACATTCAATAAATTCTACCATTCCCTTTTTAAATAGCTGTATAATAATTTTAGAGAATTCTTTTCTATGTTGTATGTTTTCGAAATAAATAAAATATTTAGTCTTGGGCTTAATGTACTCTTTTAAGAAATTTTTAATAAGATCTTCATTCTTAAGTGGGGCAAAAACTTCGAGAACCTTTTGTTTATCCCTGGATAAATTTCTTACTTGTACTTCATTTTTATGCCAGGTATAAACTAAAATTTGGTTTGGTTTTGAGTCAATGGCCTCCTTTAATATCGGAATACCATTAGATTCTAGATCTTGTCCAGAATGCACAGTTACTGTACTACCTACTATCAGAGGATATAGGTGGTAACGGGTATTTCGTGTTAGTCTCTAACTGGTTGACGGATACAGTGGCGGATGTGTCAGTTATAGTTATTGTCCTAGAGTCGTCCCTGTTTTCAGTCGTTAAGTCCACAATTTGGTCAGTTAATTCTGTCAGATATTTTTGCAGTTTTTGTTCTTTAGGGTCCAGGTTTACTTCCAATGATTGTGAGTCATCAGAGTCTATGGCATTTAGTTTTATCCGAGAGAGGGCATCAGCATTACTATTTTGTTTTCCGTTTTTGTATACAATATCGAAGTCGTACTCTTGAAGACGTAAACGCCAACGGGTCAGTTTACTGTTCGGTTCTTTAAGTGAGTAAAGCCAAACTAGTGGTCTATGGTCGGTATATATGGTGAACTTACGCCCGTAAAGGTATGGTCTAAAATGTTTTACGGCCCATATTATGGCGAGTAGTTCACGCTCTATTGTACTATATCTGGTCTCAGTGTCGCTGAGAGTTCTACTGGCGTAGGCAATGGGCTTATCGGATCCTATTGTCCCCTGCGATAAGACCGCACCTAAAGCAACAGTAGAAGCATCTGTAGTTAAAACATAAGGTTTGTCTGGATCTGGGTATTGGAGTAAAGGTGCATTAGTCAGAAGCTCCTTACACTTCTGAAACGCATCAATATATTTTTGATCTATTACAATTTTATTTCTTTTCTTTAGGCATGCTGTAAGGGGCTGAGTGATTTTGGCGAAGTCTTTTACAAAGCGTCTGTAATAACCAATCAATCCTAGGAAACTCTTAATCTCGGTAGTCGTCCTTGGTAACGGGTAGCTTAATACAGCCTGAATCTTATCATCGTTTGGTTTAAGTCCGTCTTTAGTAATAACGTGCCCTAGGTATAGCACTTCTTTTCTCAAGAATTCTGATTTGTCAAGTTGTATTTTTAAATTAGTCGATCTCAATCTGTCAAAAACTGTCCTTAATTTTTGTAAATGCTCCTGGAGGCTACTCGAGAAAATAATTATGTCATCAAGATAGACAAGGCAATGAATTCCTTGTAAGCCTCTTAGGATGTTATCCATGGCTCTTTGGAAGGTGGCTGGAGCTGTCTTCAGGCCAAAGGGCATTCGCAGGAATTCATAGTGTCCGTTCTCTGTGCTGAATGCCGTTTTTTGTCTATCTGATTCGTTGATCTCAATTTGGTGGTATCCACTAGCTAAGTCCAAGGTTGAAAAGTAAGTACTCTTACCTAGTTTGTCAAAAATGTCAGTGATATTGGGTAAAGGGTACTTATCGTCCACAGTTATGTCGTTTCGACGTCTGTAATCGATAACCATCCTATACTTCATTTCACCAGATGCGTCTCTCTTTTTGGGAACTAAATGGACTGGGGCTGACCAAGGCGAAAAGGATTCCTGAATCACATTATCATTTAATAGTTTCTGTACCTGGTTTTTAATTTCCTGTGTTTGTGCGGGAGGTTGCCTGTAGGGTTTGACATAGATAGGGTCTTCGTTTTTTGTTCTAATATAGTGTTTCACCTCATTAGCAAAAGATAAAGGTATTTGATTGCTATAAAAAATATCTTTATATTCTCTACATAAGTGGTATATCGATTTTTGTTCTTCTTCCGACATGTGGTCTAAGCGTAGTTTCTCTAAATTTTGCTCTAATATTTTATCGACTTCAATATCTGACATATCTGTAATATGGTTAACTATACATTTAGTCGCTTTACTATCTTCATATGCTTCTACATTCAATGGTTTTTTTATAGTTAATTTTATCGGTATATCTAAGGTATTCTGGATTACTGTAGTCGTATAACCATCCTTACATCTCACTAACGCACTAGGCATTCGCACACCCTTACAGAATTCTTTATAATCGATTACAGCATTACCTGAATATAAATTTGTTGGGAGTTTGACTCTTTGCTCGGAACGGGGAGATAACTCCAAAACGTAAGAAGATTTACTGTGTTATAGGTATTACGGTAGTTTTAGTTTTAAGAATCTCGTTTTTTAAATCTATTATTGCTTCTAGGTTGCAAAGTATATCATTCCCAATTAAGCCATCGTACCTAGAGTCGACATTGTAAATGTATAGTTTATGAATATCGTTACAGTTGAAAATTGGTAAAGACGGGATTTGAATAACTTGATCATGTCTGCTCGATGCATGTGTGCTAATGACTTCGAATGGTTCGTGACTTATGTACTCTGGAAAGTACTTATAAGCCTTTGATGGACTAATGAATGATCGCGTACTACCTGTATCAATCATAAATTTGGAGTCGATTTCCGGTATATAAATAAACGGCAATCTCAAATTAGTACTACAATTTAACTCTATTTTTTCGTAAGTTCCGAGGCTTCGACCTGAAAATCCTTGTCGTCCATATTGGTTGGAACGCTTTGTGTTACTTCAGGAATTATTGTCGGATATTGATTTTCATAATAATCGAGCTCGGGAACATTAAGGCCACTGCTTGAGTACTCCTCATAGCAGCAGTTATCATAAGAAAGTGGGTACACATCGCCGCACGTATCATCGTAATACGTATTATCAAGGTCGAGTTCATTTAACTGAAAGCCTTGTTGATTTGTTTTAAGTGGTGGTGCCGTTCGCATTGTGACGTCACTGGGCCCAGTGTATTGATTTTTATTTAACTGAGGCTTGTAACCAAATTGTTGGGGCTTATAAAAGTTTTGTTGTTGGTTTCCAAATTGTTGTGGGCGCATACCGAATTGTTGTGGGCGCATACCGAATTGTTGTGGGCGCATACCGAATTGTTGAGGTTTATTAAATGTTTGTGGTTGCATCCCGAACTGTTGTGGACGCATATTAAATTGTTGTGGGCGCATATTAAACTGTTGCGGGCTTATACCAAATTGTTGCGGGCGGAAGCCGAATTGTTGGGGGCGGTATCCAAAATTTTGTTGATTATTATTAAATTGAGTTAGTTTTGATTGTGACCCCTGCGGAAGTCCAAAGTTAAATTTGTTAGGGGTTAATTCGGGTTTATAGCCCATAGGTGCCATTGAATTAAAATTATTTGTACCGAATTTAAACGTAGGATTATTATTTGGTATACTGGGTGGCGTTAGTTTATTACTAGGATTACTATACAATTTATTACGTAAGGTATACTGCTCATGGAAGTTGACTTCTTCCATGACCACGCTTAAAGCCTCTTCTAGTGTACTTGGCGCTTTTAAGCGAACAATTCGCACCATATTTTCTGGCAAATTATACAAAAAGACATTTAAAGATGTGTTATTATATATAATAATTTTGCTACTCTTTACATTCGGATCGGTTAATCTATTTACTTTCGATATTAAAACACTACGAACGGATTGGATCCTATTACAGAAATCTAAATATGACTCGTTGTTTCGGATACGCAAACCTTCAAGTTCTATAGCAATACATTCTTCACTCCTAGGGTCTCCAAAATGTTGAATTAGCAGTTCTCTAAAATCTTCCCACGAATTAATGTCCTCGCGCTCGCTAAAGAGCGCTGCAGCGTCGCCTACGAGTCTACTTGTTATCGCGTACATTACGTATAAATTTTGTTCATCGGATCCCCTATATTTATTTAATATATACTCACATTTGCGAATAAAAAGATTTAATTGGTGCTTATCACCGTTGAATATCGGTACAATTTTGAGCATTTCACTAGGAATCATCTTAATTTGCACTTGATCTTCCATTTTGTAGAACTTTATTTTATAAAATACGGCGATAAAATAATATAATTAATACAAGAATTCAAATTCACAATCAAAAACACAGTCAAAATAAAAGTAAAATAATTAATAAGTAAAATACAAAATATGAAATAAATAATTCCTCAATAAAAATTTAATCAACGAACATACACTACAATTATAATTTGTAATAGTTATAATCGCTTTGTTCCTACAGTGCAAGCTCTTATCGCGTCGTTATTGCATGGACGCGCTTACTTATCTAGTTATTCCTAGTATTTCTTTATGCAGTTAGTTATTAAGTTTAAGTATTCTTAAATATAAGTTTCACAGATTTTTATGTAAAACCAGATAACGTTATATCGCAAGAGGTCTAATTGCAAAATAACAAAACTATATAATATGACAAGGAAAGGAAGGTGAAAATTTGGACTCACCAGCCGGCCTTCGTCATCTTCAGCTGCTCTCCACTTGACAAATTTATATTGGTTCGCAGGATCGCCTCGCGGCACGAACGCGGTAAACGATTTTATTCGAATTTATTTCGCGGACGGCGCAAGCAAATGGCGATCCTACCGGCTGCGCCAGTCAAGTTAACGGGAGCGGTGGAGGCGTATTTAAAAACTAAAATAAAACTAAGAGATGTCCGTACAGAAGCTCATGTACTTCGACAATGGCAAACTTATTCTAATACATCTTTCATGCAGACTCTATTACATTTGCTTACTCAAGTGGCACGATATAGGCCACACACTGGGTGCAAAGTCAGCAATAGTATTTATGCACGTACTTGTATCACTCTGTGTGGGGTCGAATCCATGACTATATATGTATTCAATTAATATTTGTACAAATCACTCAATATTACAGGTTTTGTAATCACGACACTTAATTACACTTTGACTAATTCGACGCGTGTTCTCAAACGGAATGCCCAAGAATCATGATGCACCCTAATTTATACATTTCCCTTTCCACTTCACTTCCGTTGTGCACGAAGAGGGGCGGCCGATGTTGGTTGCCAACACTGCCATCCTGCATGGTTCCTGCCTCAGGAACCTCACGAGTCCATTTAAAATACTGCGAAGACATAAATTGATTAGAAACTACTTTTATATATATCAATTATCTTTTTTTTTATAAACTGATCCTGACGCAAGTTTATAGTGAAATGTTACAATCAGGTTACATATTTTTAGTTCTACAAAACTCGACGGCACTTTTAAGACCAGCTGCACTTAAAGGAACTTGTCACACTTAAGAGACCAGGTTCGTCTTTCTCCTGGAATCACTTTCGTTTAAAGGACATTTAGTCTCACTTAAAGGTACCAAGTTCATTCCAGTTGCGTTTTAATAAGATATTTCGTTTTACTTAAACGTAACAAGCTTATTTAAACTATGCTTATCTCGGTTTTGTTTAACTTTTTATGTGCTTTACCAATATTTTGTACAGACTTGCGCACTCAGTAAAATGCAATCAAAAATTTTGCCATATACACTTTTTCGGTACTACCTAACATCGACTTTGTGATGTATTTCCTTATACCTTACCACCTAAAAGTTCATAGTTTTTTTTTTTTTGAAAATATCTTTATTTGCTTCGGCCTGTCCTGACTCTTAAATTTCTTTAAGCTCAAAGAACGCGATCGCCTACGCCTTTTATATTTTGTGCGTTTATTGCGTTGCAATCATCGTGGTCTACGTGAAAAATCAACTTTTTAATTAGCAGGCAGGATACACAGTTACCTATCCTCTCATCCATCACGCATACGAGGGCCCTCAAACAGACATACGCTCTCATACCGTGGACTATAATAAAGCACTTCGCTTTCACATTTAAGCATACATCTCCATACGAAGTATCTCACACATACTCTTACTTAAACTTGCGAGATCCTACGTTAACCACGTGAATCACGTTAACGTGAACCAGGACAGCGCCTGGCCGGATAGAGCCTGCTGCATGTTCAGAGAACACGACTTCCGCGCATACAGAGTATAACACTTCCGCGCACACATAGTATACGACTCGCGAGGCACCGCCATGTATAACATACGCGCGCTTCGGAACGGCGCCCACCGCGCGTGCAGCATACGCGTCTGCCGAAACCAGGCCATGATACAGCTGGACCCGGTAGTCCATACCGACCAGCAAGGCACACACTCGCCTTACACTCGCGTACATGTAATCACATCACACGTGCTACTGTAACACATAAAAGAAAACATTAAAAAGTCTCCGTTGGAACTTGATTTCAAGAAGTGCAGCACTACTCTTGGGACACCATTCGCTTTTCTAGGACACCATATACTGAGCTGCGGCTACACGACAACCTCTGGTATGGTGCGATCCTCATGTATCGTTAAATTATCTCTTCAATGTCAACTAATTTTTATTTACTTCGATTTCGTCAGTTATACTTTGTTTTTCCGCAACTAATTAAAAAGTTAAGCACTCATTCTTACAAAATATTTTTAAGACAATGTTTAGGATAAATTTGCTTTCCTCGTGTATCAAATGGTGATCGCTAGCAGCGGCAAATAATGTGCCTGTGGCGTCATAAGCCCACAGCATACTTCCACTCAAGAGCGGGCGCCACAGCACCACGCCTTCCACTATACCCTCAACATTAGATCCCAATTTTGTCGAACACAACACTTGGATTAAACTGTGACACTTGTCAACACATTAGAATACAATACTAGTTGGTCTTTTTAATTCATCGCACGTTAAAGTTAAGCATTTTTTTTTGTTTATCGTTAAAACATGTTGAGCTTTAAAATTAGTCCATGTAAATTACACCACATATCCAATTATAACTCGAGCATGTTAAATTTCCACTGGATGCAATACTATAACTCATCTTAAAATACCTCCAACATTTCTTTTGACATTTTTACGTAAAGGGATAATTGCGAACTTGTGGGTACCTTATTATCAATTGAATGTTAATTGAACAAAAAGATTTATCTTTTGGCTTAAAACATTTCTCTTTAAACTTTTACTCTACACTTTAATTGTATGTCAATGTCGTAAATAGTACAGCAAATTTCATCTCTGACATTTAATAAAAACAAAGACATCAACACGAAGTCTTTCAAAAAGTTAATAACTATCACACTATTTGAAGATTATATTATGTGGACGTTAACAGGGATTGTATCCCACTTCTGATGTTAACACAATGAAATAATTTATTATAAAGTTGTTGCTGTTGAGATTATTTAGTCAACATTTTTAGATATTTAAAGAAAACAAAATATCATATAAAGTACTATAAACTACCTTTTTCATTAGTACAGCAAGTCTATTTGCAGTTGAAAATGCACGGGAGAAATAGTGGGTACCATGGTACCATGATCCTGATACCCTTCAATAAAATCATCTTTTGGGTTTTACATTTCTTGGAAGCATCATTGAAATCACCATCATTAAAATGTTTTTCACACAGCATTCTGTGCTCCTTATGTAGCTTTGCCTGAAAAGCTAGTATACTACTCTTTGGCAGGAAACAAAGATTTCGCCCACAATGTACAGCTGAAACCAAAAAATATTATTATTAAATACGAATAATATCAAAGTAGTTCTAGTGGTTTACTAACCAATACTCTGTTTATAGATATAGATGGTTATGAGAAATAACCTTTATAAGTTGGATAAAGAGTTCTCTTTAAGGTTAGAACTTGAAGTGAATAAATATGTACCGCAAAATGTTCTTTACTGTACAGACTTCGGGTTTCGGAAAAATAAATAATTTAATGTTGTCTACGGCCGGTGAGCTGCCGCACTTTAAAACACTTCCTTCTATTTCCTTTATCCGCCATTCCATATCACGGTTTTTAGAGTCACTTTCTCGTATTTCACTGCGGATCAATGTCTAATACTTTGCACAACACAAAACGGACGAAATAAATCTTAATTCGACGTCCTAAGCTCGCAAAATCGTAGAAAAGGAGATACAATCCAAACAAAAACTACAATCATCTTTGAACGACAATAATGCAACGGCGCCCTATTTGTTTTTAGTGCTACCAGAAACGAATATAATTTTATACACATTAAAAATCAAAACAAAAAAAGAACATTTTTTTTCCTTTTCTGTCAATGATATGTTAATTCAAATGTTTCCCGCCCTCAGCCATAATTATAAACTTAATTAAACTTCTTATTATTAAACATTACTTGATTAAATAAATGCATAATTATGTTAACACAATGAAATAATTTATTATAAAGAAATATGCACTTATAACACAATATAGTCAAGTTAACGGGAGCGGTGGAGGCGTTTTTAAAAACTAAAATAAAACTAAGAGATGTCCGTACAGAAGCTCATGTACTTCGACAATGGCAAACTTATTCTAATACATCTTTCATGCAGACTCTATTACATTTGCTTACTCAAGTGACACGATATAGGCCACACACTGGGTGCAAAGTCAGCAATAGTATTTATGCACGTACTTGTATCACTCTGTGTGGGGTCGAATCCATGACTCTTCCCTCCTCAAGAGCGAAATTATCGGCATTTTCAGGAATCCGATGATTTCGCTTAATTACACACAGTTTATGTCTAATTATAATAAAAATACAGAAAATAATTGGTAGAATTACATACAAAATTATCGTTCCTAAACTCACACTTTTAACATTAATAGCACTTGCATTTTCACTGAGATTTATTTTGCTAAGTTTTACTAGTTGAAGTAATTGTTTAGTTTCGTCTAGATTTATACCTTTTAAACTCACTTCACTGACAATGGGAGGCTTCGAAATCTTCAGTTCTGGTAAGTTAGTCATTGGGTAAATTCGGTAATTTAGGTCATCTGAAGAAGATTGGTGGTATTTAAAATGAATATTTCCAATTTCGGCTTCACAGAAATCGTCTACGGTGATTATGTAAGTACCACATAAAAGTTCATGAGTGACGTCATTGTCGCACTTTCTGGTAAGTATTCTATGATTTCTCACGTACAGTATCCAGCTTTCGTGGCTTATTCGTTGAATTTTGGGATCTTCAATGTCCACAGTATGCTGTTCACAGGCATCGAGGTTTGATTGAAACTCCATGAGCTGTTCCACGCAGCTTTGTTCTGTATGCAGCAGCACATCGTCGGTATTGCACAGGAATTGATTATCCAAAGCAATTTGTTTGCAGGCTCTCGGGACTGGCAAGTATTCCTTTTCTTTCACCAATAGGTATGGGTATTTGGGAATAACTATAATAGTTTTGTTTGCAATAGCAATTGGCAATGAATACATTTTGAAGTAACTATATGTTTTATTACCTACTAAAGGGACCTCTAAGATAAACGTGATCTGGTTTCCTTTTATAAAAGCCTTAACCTTAATACAATTTTCTAGTTTAACTAAGTTATTTTCATTTACAGGATATAATAGATTTTCAGTTATCGCGATTGATTGTAATAAATTTAACAATTCCGTAGAGTTAAAAATTGCTTGATGCAGAACAGATACCTTACTGAATGCTAGTGCAGTTTCGATTTCTCCTAGTATTACGTTAATAGTTCTAAAATAACTCAAAAACATGTCAAACATACCTAGCACATAGGTAGAATAAATGGAGTTTTCTTCTTTTGTAATTAGGAATTTAACAATTCTTTCAATTCTCTTCAAGCGTTCATCTAATATTAAAGTATTGTTATGTAAGGTCTCTGTACTGTTGATGAAACTATCCAAGATTTTGGAGACTAATGTAATTCTCTTATCCGACATTATCTGATTATCGTTTAGTTTAGAAATCAATGAGTCATATCGGACGGCATCATCATGATCCAAATTTCCAGTTACTATTTTTATCATAGACCCAAGCGGGTCAATAATGCCTCTTTTAAATCTTTTCGATGGCACAAGTTGCCGAAATTTTTCTATAGTTGCATCTCTTAAATACCCTACATGTGTTCGAATAGCTAAAAATTCATGAATATATGGTTTATTAACATCTATCAACGCAACGAATTCGTCATACTTTAATATACTAAAATCTAAATCACTACCTATACCTTCTAAGTTTAAAGTTTTAATAATAAGCCAATTGTCTATTTGCAATGAGGCACGACCCAGTTTGACAGGCAGGATTCCTGGGTTTTTTTCAAGTTTTCGAAGTTGAAGGGCCCATCCTTTCTGAACCATCGTCAGAATTATTATACACCACCTGTGGAGGACGTTTAATATTTTTAATTGGCACTGAAGTATACCAATCCTAACAGGAACTATATTTCTTTCTATATTACCACTAACGACAGCTTTCCTATATCGCGGTTTGTCTTTACTTCTTCTTATGTTAGATTCCTTGGCGTATATAACATCTCCTATTCTAAAATTTCTATCTGTTTCACCGCCCTTTTGTTCCCTTACCTTTTCCTTTTTCTCTAAGATTTTATCTGATATGTAATTATATAGATATCTAATACGTTTAGCATGATCTTTTAATAGTTGTTGGGTGTAACATTTCTCGAAATTCGCGGTGAACGTTGAATTAGAGTCGGTATGACCGAAAACGATTTCGAAAGGAGTAAGGCCGGTTGTACTATGTATGGTGTGGTTATAAGCCATAATTGAGTAACTCATTACAGTAGCTGCATCTGTACACTTTCGTTCGTATTTCGCCAATCTGTATATCTCTATAATTGTGGAGTGGAATCTCTCTATTATGCCTGTTGAATTCGGGTTATTAGGAGTGGTAATGTGTAGTAGTATGTTATACATAGTCATAAGTTCCTTAATGAGATCATTATTAAAGTCACTACCGGGATCAGAAGTTATTTTTTTAGGTGTTCCGTATATTGAAAAATATTTAATAAGCGCTCTTACGATTTCCGGTGCGGATCTATTTGGGATTTCGATAGCTTGTCCTAATTTACTAAATACGTCAATCAAAGTTAGGTAATAAACGGATTCAATTGAAAAAAGGTCCATGAAAACTTCTTGGAAGGGGGCGTTTTGGGTTTGAGTTAATTGAAGTAATGGTTTAATGGGTTTTCTTTCATATTTCATTTTTCTACAGGCATCACAAACATTAAGTACTGCAGCAATCGTCTCTTGCATGTTCTGCCAATAATAATTTCTTTTAATTCTACTCATTGTTTCCTTTATTCCTCTGTGACACGTCTTTCCCTCATGATGTTGCAGTATGATTTCTTTTTGTTTTTTCTCGTCTTCTACATATATAACACGCTCTGTACATTCAATAAATTCTACCATTCCCTTTTTAAATAGCTGTATAATAATTTTAGAGAATTCTTTTCTATGTTGTATGTTTTCGAAATAAATAAAATATTTAGTCTTGGGCTTAATGTACTCTTTTAAGAAATTTTTAATAAGATCTTCATTCTTAAGTGGGGCAAAAACTTCGAGAACCTTTTGTTTATCCCTGGATAAATTTCTTACTTGTACTTCATTTTTATGCCAGGTATAAACTAAAATTTGGTTTGGTTTTGAGTCAATGGCCTCCTTTAATATCGGAATACCATTAGATTCTAGATCTTGTCCAGAATGCACAGTTACTGTACTACTATCAGAGGATATAGGTGGTAACGGGTATTTCGTGTTAGTCTCTAACTGGTTGACGGATACAGTGGCGGATGTGTCAGTTATAGTTATTGTCCTAGAGTCGTCCCTGTTTTCAGTCGTTAAGTCCACAATTTGGTCAGTTAATTCTGTCAGATATTTTTGCAGTTTTTGTTCTTTAGGGTCCAGGTTTACTTCCAATGATTGTGAGTCATCAGAGTCTATGGCATTTAGTTTTATCCGAGAGAGGGCATCAGCATTACTATTTTGTTTTCCGTTTTTGTATACAATATCGAAGTCGTACTCTTGAAGACGTAAACGCCAACGGGTCAGTTTACTGTTCGGTTCTTTAAGTGAGTAAAGCCAAACTAGTGGTCTATGGTCGGTATATATGGTGAACTTACGCCCGTAAAGGTATGGTCTAAAATGTTTTACGGCCCATATTATGGCGAGTAGTTCACGCTCTATTGTACTATATCTGGTCTCAGTGTCGCTGAGAGTTCTACTGGCGTAGGCAATGGGCTTATCGGATCCTATTGTCCCCTGCGATAAGACCGCACCTAAAGCAACAGTAGAAGCATCTGTAGTTAAAACATAAGGTTTGTCTGGATCTGGGTATTGGAGTAAAGGTGCATTAGTCAGAAGCTCCTTACACTTCTGAAACGCATCAATATATTTTTGATCTATTACAATTTTATTTCTTTTCTTTAGGCATGCTGTAAGGGGCTGAGTGATTTTGGCGAAGTCTTTTACAAAGCGTCTGTAATAACCAATCAATCCTAGGAAACTCTTAATCTCGGTAGTCGTCCTTGGTAACGGGTAGCTTAATACAGCCTGAATCTTATCATCGTTTGGTTTAAGTCCGTCTTTAGTAATAACGTGCCCTAGGTATAGCACTTCTTTTCTCAAGAATTCTGATTTGTCAAGTTGTATTTTTAAATTAGTCGATCTCAATCTGTCAAAAACTGTCCTTAATTTTTGTAAATGCTCCTGGAGGCTACTCGAGAAAATAATTATGTCATCAAGACAGACAAGGCAATGAATTCCTTGTAAGCCTCTTAGGATGTTATCCATGGCTCTTTGGAAGGTGGCTGGAACTGTCTTCAGGCCAAAGGGCATTCGCAGGAATTCATAGTGTCCGTTCTCTGTGCTGAATGCCGTTTTTTGTCTATCTGATTCGTTGATCTCAATTTGGTGGTATCCACTAGCTAAGTCCAAGGTTGAAAAGTAAGTACTCTTACCTAGTTTGTCAAAAATGTCAGTGATATTGGGTAAAGGGTACTTATCGTCCACAGTTATGTCGTTTAGACGTCTGTAATCGATAACCATCCTATACTTCATTTCACCAGATGCGTCTCTCTTTTTGGGAACTAAATGGACTGGGGCTGACCAAGGCGAAAAGGATTCCTGAATCACATTATCATTTAATAGTTTCTGTACCTGGTTTTTAATTTCCTGTGTTTGTGCGGGAGGTTGCCTGTAGGGTTTGACATAGATAGGGTCTTCGTTTTTTGTTCTAATATAGTGTTTCACCTCATTAGCAAAAGATAAAGGTATTTGATCGCTATAAAAAATATCTTTATATTCTTCTCTACATAAGTGGTATATCGATTTTTGTTCTTCTTCCGACATGTGGTCTAAGCGTAGTTTCTCTAAATTTTGCTCTAATATTTTATCGACTTCAATATCTGACATATCTGTAATATGGTTAACTATACATTTAGTCGCTTTACTATCTTCATATGCTTCTACATTCAATGGTTTTTTATAGTTAATTTTATCGGTATATCTAAGGTATTCTGGATTACTGTAGTCGTATAACCATCCTTACATCTCACTAACGCACTAGGCATTCGCACACCCTTACAGAATTCTTTATAATCGATTACAGCATTACCTGAATATAAATTTGTTGGGAGTTTGACTCTTTGCTCGGAACGGGGAGATAACTCCAAAACGTAAGAAGATTTACTGTGTTATAGGTATTACGGTAGTTTTAGTTTTAAGAATCTCGTTTTTTAAATCTATTACTGCTTCTAGGTTGCAAAGTATATCATTCCCAATTAAGCCATCGTACCTAGAGTCGACATTGTAAATGTATAGTTTATGAATATCGTTACAGTTGAAAATTGGTAAAGACGGGATTTGAATAACTTGATCATGTCTGCTCGATGCATGTGTGCTAATGACTTCGAATGGTTCGTGACTTATGTACTCTGGAAAGTACTTATAAGCCTTTGATGGACTAATGAATGATCGCGTACTACCTGTATCAATCATAAATTTGGAGTCGATTTCCGGTATATAAATAAACGGCAATCTCAAATTAGTACTACAATTTAACTCTATTTTTTCGTAAGTTCCGAGGCTTCGACCTGAAAATCCTTGTCGTCCATATTGGTTGGAACGCTTTGTGTTACTTCAGGAATTATTGTCGGATATTGATTTTCATAATAATCGAGCTCGGGAACATTAAGGCCACTGCTTGAGTACTCCTCATAGCAGCAGTTATCATAAGAAAGTGGGTACACATCGCCGCACGTATCATCGTAATACGTATTATCAAGGTCGAGTTCATTTAACTGAAAGCCTTGTTGATTTGTTTTAAGTGGTAGTGCCGTTCGCATTGTGACGTCACTGGGCCCAGTGTATTGATTTTTATTTAACTGAGGCTTGTAACCAAATTGTTGGGGCTTATAAAAGTTTTGTTGTTGGTTTCCAAATTGTTGTGGGCGCATACCGAATTGTTGTGGGCGCATACCGAATTGTTGAGGTTTATTAAATGTTTGTGGTTGCATCCCGAACTGTTGTGGACGCATATTAAATTGTTGTGGGCGCATATTAAACTGTTGCGGGCTTATACCAAATTGTTGCGGGCGGAAGCCGAATTGTTGGGGGCGGTATCCAAAATTTTGTTGATTATTATTAAATTGAGTTAGTTTTGATTGTGACCCCTGCGGAAGTCCAAAGTTAAATTTGTTAGGGGTTAATTCGGGTTTATAGCCCATAGGTGCCATTGAATTAAAATTATTTGTACCGAATTTAAACGTAGGATTATTATTTGGTATACTGGGTGGCGTTAGTTTATTACTAGGATTACTATACAATTTATTACGTAAGGTATACTGCTCATGGAAGTTGACTTCTTCCATGACCACGCTTAAAGCCTCTTCTAGTGTACTTGGCGCTTTTAAGCGAACAATTCGCACCATATTTTCTGGCAAATTATACAAAAAGACATTTAAAGATGTGTTATTATATATAATAATTTTGCTACTCTTTACATTCGGATCGGTTAATCTATTTACTTTCGATATTAAAACACTACGAACGGATTGGATCCTATTACAGAAATCTAAATATGACTCGTTGTTTCGGATACGCAAACCTTCAAGTTCTATAGCAATACATTCTTCACTCCTAGGGTCTCCAAAATGTTGAATTAGCAGTTCTCTAAAATCTTCCCACGAATTAATGTCCTCGCGCTCGCTAAAGAGCGCTGCAGCGTCGCCTACGAGTCTACTTGTTATCGCGTACATTACGTATAAATTTTGTTCATCGGATCCCCTATATTTATTTAATATATACTCACATTTGCGAATAAAAAGATTTAATTGGTGCTTATCACCGTTGAATATCGGTACAATTTTGAGCATTTCACTAGGAATCATCTTAATTTGCACTTGATCTTCCATTTTGTAGAACTTTATTTTATAAAATACGGCGATAAAATAATATAATTAATACAAGAATTCAAATTCACAATCAAAAACACAGTCAAAATAAAAGTAAAATAATTAATAAGTAAAATACAAAATATGAAATAAATAATTCCTCAATAAAAATTTAATCAACGAACATACACTACAATTATAATTTGTAATAGTTATAATCGCTTTGTTCCTACAGTGCAAGCTCTTATCGCGTCGTTATTGCATGGACGCGCTTACTTATCTAGTTATTCCTAGTATTTCTTTATGCAGTTAGTTATTAAGTTTAAGTATTCTTAAATATAAGTTTCACAGATTTTTATGTAAAACCAGATAACGTTATATCGCAAGAGGTCTAATTGCAAAATAACAAAACTATATAATATGACAAGGAAAGGAAGGTGAAAATTTGGACTCACCAGCCGGCCTTCGTCATCTTCAGCTGCTCTCCACTTGACAAATTTATATTGGTTCGCAGGATCGCCTCGCGGCACGAACGCGGTAAACGATTTTATTCGAATTTATTTCGCGGACGGCGCAAGCAAATGGCGATCCTACCGGCTGCGCCAGTCAAGTTAACGGGAGCGGTGGAGGCGTATTTAAAAACTAAAATAAAACTAAGAGATGTCCGTACAGAAGCTCATGTACTTCGACAATGGCAAACTTATTCTAATACATCTTTCATGCAGACTCTATTACATTTGCTTACTCAAGTGGCACGATATAGGCCACACACTGGGTGCAAAGTCAGCAATAGTATTTATGCACGTACTTGTATCACTCTGTGTGGGGTCGAATCCATGACTATATATGTATTCAATTAATATTTGTACAAAGCACTCAATATTACAGGTTTTGTAATCACGACACTTAATTACACTTTGACTAATTCGACGCGTGTTCTCAAACGGAATGCCCAAGAATCATGATGCACCCTAATTTATACATTTCCCTTTCCACTTCACTTCCGTTGTGCACGAAGAGGGGCGGCCGATGTTGGTTGCCAACACTGCCATCCTGCATGGTTCCTGCCTCAGGAACCTCACGAGTCCATTTAAAATACTGCGAAGACATAAATTGATTAGAAACTACTTTTATATATATCAATTATCTTTTTTTTTATAAACTGATCCTGACGCAAGTTTATAGTGAAATGTTACAATCAGGTTACATATTTTTAGTTCTACAAAACTCGACGGCACTTTTAAGACCAGCTGCACTTAAAGGAACTTGTCACACTTAAGAGACCAGGTTCGTCTTTCTCCTGGAATCACTTTCGTTTAAAGGACATTTAGTCTCACTTAAAGGTACCAAGTTCATTCCAGTTGCGTTTTAATAAGATATTTCGTTTTACTTAAACGTAACAAGCTTATTTAAACTATGCTTATCTCGGTTTTGTTTAACTTTTTATGTGCTTTACCAATATTTTGTACAGACTTGCGCACTCAGTAAAATGCAATCAAAAATTTTGCCATATACACTTTTTCGGTACTACCTAACATCGACTTTGTGATGTATTTCCTTATACCTTACCACCTAAAAGTTCATAGTTTTTTTTTTTTTGAAAATATCTTTATTTGCTTCGGCCTGTCCTGACTCTTAAATTTCTTTAAGCTCAAAGAACGCGATCGCCTACGCCTTTTATATTTTGTGCGTTTATTGCGTTGCAATCATCGTGGTCTACGTGAAAAATCAACTTTTTAATTAGCAGGCAGGATACACAGTTACCTATCCTCTCATCCATCACGCATACGAGGGCCCTCAAACAGACATACGCTCTCATACCGTGGACTATAATAAAGCACTTCGCTTTCACATTTAAGCATACATCTCCATACGAAGTATCTCACACATACTCTTACTTAAACTTGCGAGATCCTACGTTAACCACGTGAATCACGTTAACGTGAACCAGGACAGCGCCTGGCCGGATAGAGCCTGCTGCATGTTCAGAGAACACGACTTCCGCGCATACAGAGTATAACACTTCCGCGCACACATAGTATACGACTCGCGAGGCACCGCCATGTATAACATACGCGCGCTTCGGAACGGCGCCCACCGCGCGTGCAGCATACGCGTCTGCCGAAACCAGGCCATGATACAGCTGGACCCGGTAGTCCATACCGACCAGCAAGGCACACACTCGCCTTACACTCGCGTACATGTAATCACATCACACGTGCTACTGTAACACATAAAAGAAAACATTAAAAAGTCTCCGTTGGAACTTGATTTCAAGAAGTGCAGCACTACTCTTGGGACACCATTCGCTTTTCTAGGACACCATATACTGAGCTGCGGCTACACGACAACCTCTGGTATGGTGCGATCCTCATGTATCGTTAAATTATCTCTTCAATGTCAACTAATTTTTATTTACTTCGATTTCGTCAGTTATACTTTGTTTTTCCGCAACTAATTAAAAAGTTAAGCACTCATTCTTACAAAATATTTTTAAGACAATGTTTAGGATAAATTTGCTTTCCTCGTGTATCAAATGGTGATCGCTAGCAGCGGCAAATAATGTGCCTGTGGCGTCATAAGCCCACAGCATACTTCCACTCAAGAGCGGGCGCCACAGCACCACGCCTTCCACTATACCCTCAACATTAGATCCCAATTTTGTCGAACACAACACTTGGATTAAACTGTGACACTTGTCAACACATTAGAATACAATACTAGTTGGTCTTTTTAATTCATCGCACGTTAAAGTTAAGCATTTTTTTTTGTTTATCGTTAAAACATGTTGAGCTTTAAAATTAGTCCATGTAAATTACACCACATATCCAATTATAACTCGAGCATGTTAAATTTCCACTGGATGCAATACTATAACTCATCTTAAAATACCTCCAACATTTCTTTTGACATTTTTACGTAAAGGGATAATTGCGAACTTGCGGGTACCTTATTATCAATTGAATGTTAATTGAACAAAAAGATTTATCTTTTGGCTTAAAACATTTCTCTTTAAACTTTTACTCTACACTTTAATTGTATGTCAATGTCGTAAATAGTACAGCAAATTTCATCTCTGACATTTAATAAAAACAAAGACATCAACACGAAGTCTTTCAAAAAGTTAATAACTATCACACTATTTGAAGATTATATTATGTGGACGTTAACAGGGATTGTATCCCACTTCTGATGTTAACACAATGAAATAATTTATTATAAAGTTGTTGCTGTTGAGATTATTTAGTCAACATTTTTAGATATTTAAAGAAAACAAAATATCATATAAAGTACTATAAACTACCTTTTTCATTAGTACAGCAAGTCTATTTGCAGTTGAAAATGCACGGGAGAAATAGTGGGTACCATGGTACCATGATCCTGATACCCTTCAATAAAATCATCTTTTGGGTTTTACATTTCTTGGAAGCATCATTGAAATCACCATCATTAAAATGTTTTTCACACAGCATTCTGTGCTCCTTATGTAGCTTTGCCTGAAAAGCTAGTATACTACTCTTTGGCAGGAAACAAAGATTTCGCCCACAATGTACAGCTGAAACCAAAAAATATTATTATTAAATACGAATAATATCAAAGTAGTTCTAGTGGTTTACTAACCAATACTCTGTTTATAGATATAGATGGTTATGAGAAATAACCTTTATAAGTTGGATAAAGAGTTCTCTTTAAGGTTAGAACTTGAAGTGAATAAATATGTACCGCAAAATGTTCTTTACTGTACAGACTTCGGGTTTCGGAAAAATAAATAATTTAATGTTGTCTATGGCCGGTGAGCTGCCGCACTTTAAAACACTTCCTTCTATTTCCTTTATCCGCCATTCCATATCACGGTTTTTAGAGTCACTTTCTCGTATTTCACTGCGGATCAATGTCTAATACTTTGCACAACACAAAACGGACGAAATAAATCTTAATTCGACGTCCTAAGCTCGCAAAATCGTAGAAAAGGAGATACAATCCAAACAAAAACTACAATCATCTTTGAACGACAATAATGCAACGGCGCCCTATTTGTTTTTAGTGCTACCAGAAACGAATATAATTTTATACACATTAAAAATCAAAACAAAAAAAGAACATTTTTTTTCCTTTTCTGTCAATGATATGTTAATTCAAATGTTTCCCGCCCTCAGCCATAATTATAAACTTAATTAAACTTCTTATTATTAAACATTACTTGATTAAATAAATGCATAATTATGTTAACACAATGAAATAATTTATTATAAAGAAATATGCACTTATAACACAATATAGTCAAGTTAACGGGAGCGGTGGAGGCGTTTTTAAAAACTAAAATAAAACTAAGAGATGTCCGTACAGAAGCTCATGTACTTCGACAATGGCAAACTTATTCTAATACATCTTTCATGCAGACTCTATTACATTTGCTTACTCAAGTGACACGATATAGGCCACACACTGGGTGCAAAGTCAGCAATAGTATTTATGCACGTACTTGTATCACTCTGTGTGGGGTCGAATCCATGACTCTTCCCTCCTCAAGAGCGAAATTATCGGCATTTTCAGGAATCCGATGATTTCGCTTAATTACACACAGTTTATGTCTAATTATAATAAAAATACAGAAAATAATTGGTAGAATTACATACAAAATTATCGTTCCTAAACTCACACTTTTAACATTAATAGCACTTGCATTTTCACTGAGATTTATTTTGCTAAGTTTTACTAGTTGAAGTAATTGTTTAGTTTCGTCTAGATTTATACCTTTTAAACTCACTTCACTGACAATGGGAGGCTTCGAAATCTTCAGTTCTGGTAAGTTAGTCATTGGGTAAATTCGGTAATTTAGGTCATCTGAAGAAGATTGGTGGTATTTAAAATGAATATTTCCAATTTCGGCTTCACAGAAATCGTCTACGGTGATTATGTAAGTACCACATAAAAGTTCATGAGTGACGTCATTGTCGCACTTTCTGGTAAGTATTCTATGATTTCTCACGTACAGTATCCAGCTTTCGTGGCTTATTCGTTGAATTTTGGGATCTTCAATGTCCACAGTATGCTGTTCACAGGCATCGAGGTTTGATTGAAACTCCATGAGCTGTTCCACGCAGCTTTGTTCTGTATGCAGCAGCACATCGTCGGTATTGCACAGGAATTGATTATCCAAAGCAATTTGTTTGCAGGCTCTCGGGACTGGCAAGTATTCCTTTTCTTTCACCAATAGGTATGGGTATTTGGGAATAACTATAATAGTTTTGTTTGCAATAGCAATTGGCAATGAATACATTTTGAAGTAACTATATGTTTTATTACCTACTAAAGGGACCTCTAAGATAAACGTGATCTGGTTTCCTTTTATAAAAGCCTTAACCTTAATACAATTTTCTAGTTTAGTTAAAAAAAAAAAAGTTATTTTCATTTACAGGATATAATAGATTTTCAGTTATCGCGATTGATTGTAATAAATTTAACAATTCCGTAGAGTTAAAAATTGCTTGATGCAGAACAGATACCTTACTGAATGCTAGTGCAGTTTCGATTTCTCCTAGTATTACGTTAATAGTTCTAAAATAACTCAAAAACATGTCAAACATACCTAGCACATAGGTAGAATAAATGGAGTTTTCTTCTTTTGTAATTAGGAATTTAACAATTCTTTCAATTCTCTTCAAGCGTTCATCTAATATTAAAGTATTGTTATGTAAGGTCTCTGTACTGTTGATGAAACTATCCAAGATTTTGGAGACTAATGTAATTCTCTTATCCGACATTATCTGATTATCGTTTAGTTTAGAAATCAATGAGTCATATCGGACGGCATCATCATGATCCAAATTTCCAGTTACTATTTTTATCATAGACCCAAGCGGGTCAATAATGCCTCTTTTAAATCTTTTCGATGGCACAAGTTGCCGAAATTTTTCTATAGTTGCATCTCTTAAATACCCTACATGTGTTCGAATAGCTAAAAATTCATGAATATATGGTTTATTAACATCTATCAACGCAACGAATTCGTCATACTTTAATATACTAAAATCTAAATCACTACCTATACCTTCTAAGTTTAAAGTTTTAATAATAAGCCAATTGTCTATTTGCAATGAGGCACGACCCAGTTTGACAGGCAGGATTCCTGGGTTTTTTTCAAGTTTTCGAAGTTGAAGGGCCCATCCTTTCTGAACCATCGTCAGAATTATTATACACCACCTGTGGAGGACGTTTAATATTTTTAATTGGCACTGAAGTATACCAATCCTAACAGGAACTATATTTCTTTCTATATTACCACTAACGACAGCTTTCCTATATCGCGGTTTGTCTTTACTTCTTCTTATGTTAGATTCCTTGGCGTATATAACATCTCCTATTCTAAAATTTCTATCTGTTTCACCGCCCTTTTGTTCCCTTACCTTTTCCTTTTTCTCTAAGATTTTATCTGATATGTAATTATATAGATATCTAATACGTTTAGCATGATCTTTTAATAGTTGTTGGGTGTAACATTTCTCGAAATTCGCGGTGAACGTTGAATTAGAGTCGGTATGACCGAAAACGATTTCGAAAGGAGTAAGGCCGGTTGTACTATGTATGGTGTGGTTATAAGCCATAATTGAGTAACTCATTACAGTAGCTGCATCTGTACACTTTCGTTCGTATTTCGCCAATCTGTATATCTCTATAATTGTGGAGTGGAATCTCTCTATTATGCCTGTTGAATTCGGGTTATTAGGAGTGGTAATGTGTAGTAGTATGTTATACATAGTCATAAGTTCCTTAATGAGATCATTATTAAAGTCACTACCGGGATCAGAAGTTATTTTTTTAGGTGTTCCGTATATTGAAAAATATTTAATAAGCGCTCTTACGATTTCCGGTGCGGATCTATTTGGGATTTCGATAGCTTGTCCTAATTTACTAAATACGTCAATCAAAGTTAGGTAATAAACGGATTCAATTGAAAAAAGGTCCATGAAAACTTCTTGGAAGGGGGCGTTTTGGGTTTGAGTTAATTGAAGTAATGGTTTAATGGGTTTTCTTTCATATTTCATTTTTCTACAGGCATCACAAACATTAAGTACTGCAGCAATCGTCTCTTGCATGTTCTGCCAATAATAATTTCTTTTAATTCTACTCATTGTTTCCTTTATTCCTCTGTGACACGTCTTTCCCTCATGATGTTGCAGTATGATTTCTTTTTGTTTTTTCTCGTCTTCTACATATATAACACGCTCTGTACATTCAATAAATTCTACCATTCCCTTTTTAAATAGCTGTATAATAATTTTAGAGAATTCTTTTCTATGTTGTATGTTTTCGAAATAAATAAAATATTTAGTCTTGGGCTTAATGTACTCTTTTAAGAAATTTTTAATAAGATCTTCATTCTTAAGTGGGGCAAAAACTTCGAGAACCTTTTGTTTATCCCTGGATAAATTTCTTACTTGTACTTCATTTTTATGCCAGGTATAAACTAAAATTTGGTTTGGTTTTGAGTCAATGGCCTCCTTTAATATCGGAATACCATTAGATTCTAGATCTTGTCCAGAATGCACAGTTACTGTACTACTATCAGAGGATATAGGTGGTAACGGGTATTTCGTGTTAGTCTCTAACTGGTTGACGGATACAGTGGCGGATGTGTCAGTTATAGTTATTGTCCTAGAGTCGTCCCTGTTTTCAGTCGTTAAGTCCACAATTTGGTCAGTTAATTCTGTCAGATATTTTTGCAGTTTTTGTTCTTTAGGGTCCAGGTTTACTTCCAATGATTGTGAGTCATCAGAGTCTATGGCATTTAGTTTTATCCGAGAGAGGGCATCAGCATTACTATTTTGTTTTCCGTTTTTGTATACAATATCGAAGTCGTACTCTTGAAGACGTAAACGCCAACGGGTCAGTTTACTGTTCGGTTCTTTAAGTGAGTAAAGCCAAACTAGTGGTCTATGGTCGGTATATATGGTGAACTTACGCCCGTAAAGGTATGGTCTAAAATGTTTTACGGCCCATATTATGGCGAGTAGTTCACGCTCTATTGTACTATATCTGGTCTCAGTGTCGCTGAGAGTTCTACTGGCGTAGGCAATGGGCTTATCGGATCCTATTGTCCCCTGCGATAAGACCGCACCTAAAGCAACAGTAGAAGCATCTGTAGTTAAAACATAAGGTTTGTCTGGATCTGGGTATTGGAGTAAAGGTGCATTAGTCAGAAGCTCCTTACACTTCTGAAACGCATCAATATATTTTTGATCTATTACAATTTTATTTCTTTTCTTTAGGCATGCTGTAAGGGGCTGAGTGATTTTGGCGAAGTCTTTTACAAAGCGTCTGTAATAACCAATCAATCCTAGGAAACTCTTAATCTCGGTAGTCGTCCTTGGTAACGGGTAGCTTAATACAGCCTGAATCTTATCATCGTTTGGTTTAAGTCCGTCTTTAGTAATAACGTGCCCTAGGTATAGCACTTCTTTTCTCAAGAATTCTGATTTGTCAAGTTGTATTTTTAAATTAGTCGATCTCAATCTGTCAAAAACTGTCCTTAATTTTTGTAAATGCTCCTGGAGGCTACTCGAGAAAATAATTATGTCATCAAGACAGACAAGGCAATGAATTCCTTGTAAGCCTCTTAGGATGTTATCCATGGCTCTTTGGAAGGTGGCTGGAACTGTCTTCAGGCCAAAGGGCATTCGCAGGAATTCATAGTGTCCGTTCTCTGTGCTGAATGCCGTTTTTTGTCTATCTGATTCGTTGA